GTGCAACAAGTTTAAAGGGAGCTGTGAAGGAAGCATCACCGGAAGACATTTTTGAGATATCCATTGTCTGTTACAAAACCCCAAAATAAAATGAAATGAGCATTAGCCACTGGCAAAGAGTTACTACTCAAACATTTTCATATGTATATGCCTTACCTTGAGTAGCCTACTGTCGGTGACAATTTGGTTTTGGTCGACTGTGTCAACAAGTGGTTCCATCATAGCTTTTTTCTTGATGCATGACATGTCAAAACCATACACACTGTTCCAAACTGTAATAGAAAACACAAAAGCATTAGAAAATGCAAATCTCAATAGACAGCAAGATAAATGCTGGAAAAAAAAGAGAGAGACAAGATGTTAAATCGATGCACTAACATTCTATTTTGTCTTCTTTATACTCTGAATCCTCTATGGCTGTAAGAAACAGAGAGGCTTTGTCAGGTAGCACAATTCCACCATCAACCTAACCAAAGGAGCAAGAAGTTTATTACATAGTTATTCCAGGGAAACTCTCATAACAAAGACATGAATTTGCAACAATTAATCGTTGACAAATGCTTTTGGTAAGTAGAAAAGGTGGAGCTTGTAACTTACAAGCCATTTATCACGAGCGTATAAGACACTGTCCAACATATTTTCAAACAACAAAAAGTAACCCATCCATTCAGATATAATCACATCCACTTTAGGAGTAGGAAGCTCTATCTCCTCAATCTTCCCTTTCAAAACCGTTATGACTGCAACGACAAATCAAAAATCGTCAATTCGTAAAGCGGTTACAGAACATATGTTTTCCATTGCATAAATAAAAGAACAAAAAGAGATGATAGAAAAATTACCATCAGAAAATCCATTCGCTTTAACAATCTCCTTTGCCATGTCAGCCATTTGAGAACATTCAACCTATTAAGAAACATCCTCAGTCAAAATCATTCTGGAAGAGAGATTTTCACACAAAGAAAAGACTGAAAGAAATGAAGACATACAGCGTATACATGAGCTGCTCCTGCCTTGGCACAGAACAGAGACAAGATTCCTGTCCCAGCTCCAACATCAAGAACAATTTTGTCCTTGATAAGAAACTTGTTTTGGTAGATTACATTCTGATAAGTCTTTGTTCTCACTACATCCTTCAACATTTCCTGTAAGATAATTTCATCGAATTAGTCATCACATGAACACAAAAGAAAAACATTTAATTATACTGAACTTTTTAGTTTCCAGAACAGATACTGTCAGAAAAACATCTGGTAAAAAGATCGGAAAGAGTAAGGCTTTCCGATGCTTACTTCATGAATTCCTGCAAAATAGAAAAAGTGGAACCAGAGTCAACATTAAGCAGAGAGACAAATCAAAACAATCGGGAAAAAGCATTCAGATGTTCATAAGTCATAACCAATGAGCTTAAAGTATACTCCAATCTAATTAAACAAAAAAAGTGAACTTTAGAAGAAGAAAAACATCAACTTGAAGTAAAAACAAAGGGAATTACCAAAGTGGGAGTATGAATCGAAGTAGTAATCGGCGCTGGTGGTATCATCATTGACTCCGGCGCTCTCTCCGGCGTCGCACATGGATTCATCTTGGGCGGCTTCCTCGCCGGCAACACCAGACCCTTCTGCAACTTCGTCTTCATCAGCATCTGCAAACCGAATCTTCGTGTTCTGATTCTGTCCAAAGCTCATGAACTCTTCCTCGTTGTGGTTACTCTTCTTAGTCATCGTTGTTACACAAGAGGGAAGGGAAGAGAAAGCAAAAACGGAGCAAAGAGAGGAGAAGGGTTTTTGCGGAATAGAGACGACGTGCAAAGACTAGGGTTTTAGGCTTTTATTTAGATGAACTTGGAAAGTTTTTTTCTTTTCCTCTCTCCGGTTGACGAATTTTAAATTTAATTAAATCAATTTGAAGATATTTTCTGAACCGGTACGGTTATCGTCGACATGGATTAACATGGGACCGTACCAATAAGCGAAATGGAACCACCACATTGAAAACAAGATACAGATAAACTTACTATATTATTAGTAAAAGACAGCCAATTGTTCTTACTTCTTATTCTCCATCAAATAAAAAGATTTTTATTATTGAGTTTCAAAACCAGTTTTTTTTTAGTTTCCTAAAGCTAAAGAGTGATAATGATCACTTGGTCGAATTGTTTCCCGTAGTAACGAGTGGCCAAGGTGCTCCAGCCATCACAGCTTCGATCTCCCATGTCTCCCGTGGAACATTCGTCATGTTCTTGCAGCCATTCGCAGTAACGACCTATACACAGAATCACACAGACACAACAAGAGAATGATACATGATCATATAGGGAGAGTTTTAAACGTTAAAGAGTGAATATATATTTATATCGTTACCAAATCGCTTTCGATTCTGACACCTCCGAGATTCTTGAATCTCTCTATTGTTTCACGGTTGAAAAACTTGGAGGTTTTTGCGTTTTCCATGGCTGGTACCAGCAATGCCTTTATGAAATAGCACCCTGGCTCCACCGTTATTACCTGCATACAAACCAATTACGAAATTGAAAAGGACCAAAAGCCTGTTGCAGTGCGTACGGACTTGAAACTATTAGCTTTTACCATTCCTTCAAGAAGGTCTCTTGCAGTCCGTAATGACTTCAACCCTGGTTCTTTTGGTCTTTCCACTCCCTTCAAAATTGAAAAATTAAAGCAACGGCTAAGACTCGAGGACTGTATTTTGATGTTAATGAGGATACTATTGGGGGAGCAAGTGATTTGATTTACCGTCGGGTAACCACCGGTATCGTGTGTGTCAATGCCCATGAAGTGACCTAGTCCATGAGGCATGAAAACAGCACCCAAGCGTTCTACCATCATGTCTTCTACATCACTAGAAACAGAGACGAAAACGGTAACAGAGATATATAGCTTTAGAGAACAGTGAACAAAGTTGTGCATAACCAAATGTCTTATAGAGAGGGAGAGAGAGAGAGAGAGAGAGAGAGAGAGAGTTACCCAGTGAGGATGGACCCCTTCTTCAGTGACTCAAGGATGATTCTTTCGGCTAACCTGTACATTAAACTTGCTTCAGTTTGCTATGGTCTATTTTGAACTACATTACTGAGAGAACCCAAGCTTTAAGTTCATAGTCAATCCCAATTACTGCATCTACAATGCATACTTAAACAGAGCTATATAGCATCTCAGTTAATCTTACTTGTGCATATCCACCCAGTTTACTCCTGGCTTCATCGAGGAGATTACAGAATTATGTGCATCCAGAACAGCCTAGAAGACAGGAAAATCAGAGAACCTAAATATATATATATAAAGCTTCAAGAGGCTCGCCAAACTCTGGATTGTGTGGAAAATTTGACAAAAATAAAGCCAAAATCTCTACTATATCCACGTTGCACCAATCTTGTAAGGCACTTACATTGTAGATTAGACTCTGGTCGCTAGTAAATTTACCATTAACCTGCACAACATTCGACAATTATTAGGCACCACAACTTGCTCGATATTACTGGATTTAACGCCTTACGCTTTTCATGTTAACAACAGCGTTAAGAACAAGTCAATTCGGTGCAAATACCATTCAGTAACACTCTTAAGAATTTTTAAGTAACAGAACCTAAATATGGAAAAATATTCATAGGTTTGATGCTAGAAACAGAACTCACAGGGAATGAGCATGTTATGTCAGACGCATAAAAATGGTATTCACCACCCATATCAAGCAATGCCAGATCTCCATCTTCAAACGTCTGCAAGAAGTAATAAAACTTTTATACACAGGGAATAAGGAGAGAATTAGAAAAGATACGAAAGCTTGATCCTTTACCCTATCATTTGGAGCTGCAGCATGCCCATAATGAAGAACAGCACTGCAAACAGTTTAACCACATTTTGTTAATTCTTAAGAGAAAACACCAGATACCCCGAGATTGATTGAATTTTCCAGCAATAACAACATTTATCCACCGAACTTACCTGTTATCGCCTGTTGCACAAATGCATGTGTACGAGCAATGCCTACAGCGACCGTACATGTAGGTGTGATGCAAAAACATACTTTCCATCTGATACTCTCTCATGCCAGGTTTGACTCTCCTCATAACCTTGAAGTGGGTAAAAAAAAAACATGGTTTAAAGTTGGAAACAAGTTAGAACATTGCAAGAAGAGAAGAAAAAACCCAACAAAGAAGAACGTCGTTTCATCAATTTATTTCATTCATTGATCTAAGCATACCATAGGGAAAAGAAAAGAAAACAATTTATAAAAAATGTGATAAATCATCTCCCACCTCTACATGAGCTTCAGAACTTATATCATTTGCAAATTGAAGTAGTTGAAGCTCCAAACTTGACTTGATAACTCGACATTCCGCCAAAATAGGATGTAAAGTAGTCACATCAGTCTCAAACTTTTCTATCCCCTGAAATAAGACATGAAAATATTAAAATAATGTAGAATTGAATTTCTAAATATCGAGAAAAAGACTATGAACATCAGAATCCCAAAATGCTTGATCACAAGACATGCTATAAGATATTCATCTCAGAATCAAGACAAGAAAAAGGCAAGACTGAACCTCCAGAGCAGTGTTTCCAATAAATCAGAAGGTTCCAATAAATCAGAAGGTTTTTCCCAAAAAAGTGAAGAAGAAAGGATGAAATGCAGAAACCTCAAAGCTGGCAGGTTTTGAGAAGTTACTGCTGTCGGTGTTAAGGCCATGCAAAAGATACAACAGGGGCTTTCCAGATCCCTTGAACTGTTCATTGAAGACTTGAATAATCTCATCCACATAGAAAACCATGTCAACCATATATGTTTCCTGCAACAAAACACACAAAATGCCATTATTATGAATCAAAACTTTCGCAATGAACAAATTAAGACTAAAACGAATTCAAATAATTACCTTAAAGTGTGACAGTGGCTTTATCGCTCCTAACCATACAGCATAATCATCAGGCAGCCTCGGAATAAAAAGTATAGACTTCCCACTTCCAATGTCCTTCCAATATCAAAAGAGGATCATTGGTTAAACAACATGTAAACAAATAAATAAATTGGTGACTGGATCATATGTTCCAAGGAAATGAGAAATAGCTGCAAAACTCACTATAGCTCCGTAGAAATCGGGTTCTCTGACTCCAAACAAGTATGCAAAATAACTCTCCTGCCTGCATGTCAAAGCCAATTCAACTAATCGTTATCATCTTATGTTCCACCCAAAACATTAAACAAATTGGAAAAAGAAGAAACTCAAAATCGATACCTGAAGAGCTCGGTATGATCAGTGCAGTACCGATTTTTTTCGACGCCTCCCTATTTTCCAATAGAAAAAACAGGAACAGGAAGAAATCATGATCTAAAATGATGAAAGCTATTTAGAGGAGCGTTTGAAATTATGAATATAAGAGTAGTACCTCGAGTAAAACGAAACCATGGAGAGGACGATCAGAATTAGACAAGTGAAGGCGTAATGAATCAAGGAGCTTCCGCCGGTTTCCGGCGTGGAGCTCCATAGGAACCGGTGGAGGAGACAGAGAAGACATGACGATTTGAGATAGTTTTCTTCTTCGTTTTTTGGGATTTTTTTCAGTATAGTGGCAACAGATCTTGTGCTTAACTAATATCCTAAAACGCTGACGTTTCAAAAGATAGGAGAAAACGAAACGATGTCGGTTTAAAACAGATTCTCGGAACGTGGACTATGGCGTCGTTTTATTACAGAGGAAAAGGAGTGACAATCCCGAATCGGCTCATCTCTCTCGCTGATCAGTGCCGCATTTCAATTGTAAAAAGGTACGGCGAGCTTCCGGTCTCAACCGATCTTCTGGCACTTTTCTTGCTTCAGATTCTCAATTGGGTTTCTGTAAATCTTCTTAAATTGGAATTCTTGGTATCTAGAGTTTTGCTCTCATTTCCCTTGTGTATTGTTTGTTCTGTCTGTGGTTGACTTTTAGATCTACGCCTGTGATCTCGTCCTGCTCAGATAACAATTGTTCGTTTCTAGGAGTCACGGATTTCGAGTTTTGATCTTCTTGGTTGATTCACACTGAGCTCGTTCGATCTACTGTACTGGAATTGAGGATTATGGGTTTAAATTTTTAGTCTTTTAGCTCTGATTTGTGTGAATTTGTTGAAAAGTCTCCTGTTTTGGAAGGAGTAAATCTGATATAACAAGAAATTCACTGTTTTGGGATTTTCGGATTAGTTGATTCGAAAAATGTTTGCTGCATTAGGGAGATTTCAGGTCTTTAAGATTGTCAATTTTTGATTGATTTGGATTTTATGAAATCAAATTTACCTGCTTAAGAACTGGAGCCGTTTCTCCTTCTGGATTTTAGTTTCTTAGTTTCTTACTCTGAATTGGTAAAAGCTGAAGTGGCTTGATGTAACCTCCTTTTTTTTTGTAAATGAAGGATTTGAGTCTGAAGATGGCATCAAAGTTGGTACAAGTTCAATCAAAGGCATGTGAGGCTTCAAAGTTTGTGGCTAAGCATGGAACTTCCTACTACAGGCAGTTGCTCGAGAAGAACAAGCAATATATCCAGGAACCTGCCACTGTGGACAAGTGCCAAGAGCTGTCTAAGCAACTTCTCTACACCCGTCTTGCTAGGTCGTTACCTCTCTTCTCCATCTTATCTCTCAACATTTTCTCAGTTCTAGTTATACAACCATTTCTAGTGAGCGATTTATGTCAATAAACCATCTTTTCATTTTTTTTTTTACTTTGAGATGCAAAATAGCCATGAATGCTGTATAGGCTGTTTGTGGAAGTGAAAATGGCATACTTACACTCTCTTCCACTTATTATTACAGTATTCCTAAACGCTATGAAACCTTCTGGAAAGAAGTAGACTACGCAAAGAACTTATGGAAGAACAGATCCGATCTGAAGGTAGAAGATGCTGGAATCGCTGCACTGTTTGGTCTCGAATGCTTTGCGTGGTATTGTGCTGGTGAAATCGCCGGAAGAGGATTCACCTTCACCGGCTATTACCCTTGAAACAGAGGAACAATATCTTGAAGACTGTGTAATCCCCTCCGTTTGTAGTTCTTCTCATGATTCTCTCTGAATCAATTTTTTTTTTCCTTGCCAGTTTTTCCCTGAAACGGAAACAGAGGATTTGGAGCTGAGAAATTCCATTTTGCTAAACTCTTTGATAAGATTGCTCTCAATAAGAACAAAATTTCCCACTTTTAATGATAACAAAAAAGAAGTCGAACCAAATTTATATGTAACATGTGATATTTTACATGTAAAAAATCATTTGCCGTTGCGAATACTCTGATTGGTTTAATCGTGTTCGTTCGTTCCAAGTGGTAAACAGACATGACATCGATAATAAAAAAATTCTTTGGTACATAAGAGAGGAAGAGGACGAGAAAATAGGAGAACCAATGAGTAATCTTCCAAGTTCCATGGAGAACCAACTACACTTAGGAAGACAACACAAGCTAGAACCACCAAAAAAAAACTTCAACTGGAGAGAGAGAGACAGAGAGAGAGAAAGATGATTCACCGTGGTGCTTTGACGCGTGTCGTTTTCGGATTAGCCGTCTTCCTCCTCCTCGCCGTCGTTCACAGCCAGGTTACAAAAACATATTTACAGTTCTTTATTCATGCTTGTCCATTTTAGTAGCTTTCTGATGGGTTGAACAAAATGACAGGAGAAATGCAGCAAAACATGCATTGCACAGAATTGTAACAGTAAGATTGTTTCTTTTTTGCTTCTTCTGCATTCCTTTGATTTTGGAGAATCTCTTCTGAATTTATTTAAGCAAGCTCTGTTTCAGATATCGGCATTAGATATGGGAAGTATTGTGGGATAGGATACTTTGGATGTCGTGGAGAGCCACCTTGTGATGCTCTTGATGCTTGTTGCATGACCCATGACGATTGTGTTGATATTAAAGGTAATTCAGTTATTAATCCTTTTTTGCGGTATTTGAAATGATAATCTTATCAAACCCATTCTTGAGTGTAAATTGGATGTAATTTGGGTATTAATCATCCGGATAATCTCAATTTGGTTTAAACTAGTGAAAAGCTTCGCCCTTCTCTAAACATAGGGACATAGAGTAAAGTTAACGTATTTAACTGCTACTTATAACAGTATAAATCTGATTTCAATCCATTAGAGCTTGGATCTTAGAATATGTTGGTTTGTTTTGTGCTTTCTTGAAAAAAGATCACTAAGGAGAATTTTCAAAAGTATGATAGTTTCACAAAGCTCGGAAAACGTACAGTGACAACCTTAGAAACCTTATCGATGCTCTATTTTCCTGATTTTTTTGGTCATATGAGGATATATATGTGTGTTTGTTATATAATCATAGATCGTTCTTGCGGTTATCAATTGAAACGACTTACCGATAAGTGAATATATACGCATTACCATCTTCGTGTTTACATCATAGTTGTTAAGGAAAGCTTTTAAATCATTGTTTTTTCGCAGGTATGACTTACGTTAACTGCCATAAGCAATTCAAGCGTTGCGTAAACGAGCTAAGCAGATCAATAAACCAATCTAATGGCCAAACTGTTGGATTTTCCACACAATGCCCTTATTCGAAGGTGATACCAACCGTGTACAATGGAATGGATTATGGCATTTTCTTCAGTAAGATAGGTAATGACTGAGATCTGCTTTACTCATATCGAAACTGTGTTTATAATATTCAACTCTTTGCTACATTGTTTGTGACATTTCTTTATACACACTTGCTTGTCGTAATAATGTTTGCGCAGGTAATATTCTCAAACCATTGGTGCCAGGAAGCAGCCCCAAGGTGGAGGCGAATCTCGCTCAGAGTAAAGTGGATACAAAGGATGGCCTTGGAACGAAAATTGACCTTCAAACAAAAGAAGGCTCCAAAGTCTCTGCTTCTCTAAATTAACATGAGCCTTCTACGTATGTACTTCTTGATTATCTTCTAATATTAAGTGACTCATAAGTCATATAACTCTCTTTCAACTTTGTAGATTCGGTAACTTTTTTTTGTTATGAAACAATCATAGAAAAGATTTTGAGGTTTCTAAGTCAAACTAATTGACAATTAATCGATTGATTTCTGTACCTTTTTTGTAACACAATTGATCTCTGTATACTTAATGTATTATTTTAGTTCATTTCTTATTTTTATATATGATATTCCTCATCACAATCCAACTTCTCGATAATATTATGATGTTATTCACATCACCAAAAACTTCACTAAGCCAAAATATAGATCATAAATGAAATTTTCTCTCTTTTTTTTTTGTAATTTTCAAAACGTGACCCTAGTCAAAAACGTGCATGACACGATGGTGGTGACCCTAGTCAAAACCATTTTTTACTATATTGAGAACATTCACCATTTTTTATCTATAAATTATAGATGTATTAAGAATATAATTATTGGAACAACGAAACTTTGTTGGTGTACCAATAATGATGTATCAAAAGTTCAAACCAATTGTTTCATAAATATTCAAATATAGTAGTATTTGAATTGTTCCATCATTATGTCCGATTGTTCCTGTATTATCCTCATATACAAGCTAAGTCACCACCAAAATAAAAGAAGGAGTAGACTTTTGTACTTTCGGGGTTTCTGTTATCTTAATCGCACGTTGCCTCGGTTTTTAATTTTTTGGACAATGATAAACTGAAGAAGAACTTGAGAAAAAAACACAAGAGAAGAAGATGAGAGCTAATCGCTCTCTCTATCTTGGCATTTTTTGTGCCCTTGCCACCGCCACTTTAATTCACTGCCAAAGCCAAACAGGTCCCCTGTTTTCTCCTCTCTGTTTTTTTTTTTCTTTTTTTTTTTAATTTGAAATTGAGCAATATTAAGATTAAAGAACCTTGAGTTTGTGAAAAGGGAAAAAAAAAAACAGATCTTCAATCCTGTAGAGGAGTTTTAGTCAATACGTTGTACAATGTCTTGTCTTGCAAGTAATCATGCAACTCACTCTTCTCTGTGTTTTTTTTTATATCGAAATTGAGCGATGTTCCTGAAGATGCTTGAAAATTGTGTGATACATATATTTTTTCTTGTCAATATCTAGAAATGAGGTCAGGCAGATCTTTAAACCTGACTTGGAAAATTTTGGCTCAAAAACGTTCTCAAGCGTCATAAACAATTTTGCTTGTGTTCGAATTAGTCTCTCCTTATTATCCTTTTGATTCAGGTTACATCAGTATCGACTGTGGAACACCTCTCAATGAAGTCGATAGAGACATTGTTAGTGGTATCTATTACGCCTCCGACGATGCTTTCATAACCACAGGCGTAAATTTTAACGTCTCTGAAGAATACGGTTACCCGAAAAACCTGAACTTGCCCTACGTTCTTGGTGATGTAAGAGCTTTCCCTCAAGGAAACAGAAACTGTTACTCCTTAAAACCTTCAAAGGCAAAAGATAATCTTTATCTCATCAGGGCTTCTTTTATGCACGGAAACTACGATGGTAGTGGTGGAAACGAAAAAGCTTTGCCCGAATTCGACCTTTACCTAAACGTTAACTTCTGGTCGACAGTGAAATTCAAGAATGCTTCTGAGCAAGTCAACAAAGAGATCCTAACCTTTTCAGATTCAGAGAACATATACGTTTGCCTTGTGAACAAAGGTAAAGGAACTCCTTTTATTTCAGGCTTGGAGCTCAGGCCAGTGAACAGCTCAATCTACGGTACTGAATTTGGAAGAAATGTCTCGTTGGTACTCTTTAAAAGATGGGACACAGGATATTTGAACGGAACAGGACGGTACCAAAACGATGTATATGATCGTATTTGGTCTCCGTACACCCAAGTCTCTTGGATTTCAACCAAAACAGATGCGTATATCGATATATTTCAGAGCGGTTATAGGCCACCTGATGAAGTTATTAAGACAGCTGCTTCACCTGAAAACGATGATGATCCGATGGAGTTGTTGTGGACATCAGATGATCCAAATGCTCGGTTCTACGCTTATCTTTACTTTGCAGAACTCGAAACGATTGAGAAGAATGAGAGTAGAAAGATCAAGATTATGTGGAACGGTTCCCCTGTTTCTGAAACTCCTATCGTTCCTTCTTCAAAGTATTCGATGACGTTTTCAAATTCAAGAGCTTTCACTGGTAAAGATCATTTGATTTCTGTTGAGAAGACCGTAGATTCAACACTTGCACCAATTCTAAATGCTATCGAGATTTTTACCGTACAATCTCTGGATGAATTCTCCACAGCAATAGAAGACGGTGTGTTTCTTGATTAATCTATGTCTAGGTATTGTTAGATTTCTGATTTTTGATATCTACTGAGACTCACGTTTTCTTCTTGTTAATGCAGTTCAGGCGATAGAAAGCATAAAATCAACTTATAAAGTGAAAAAGGTTTGGAGTGGTGATCCTTGCTCTCCAAGACTATTCCCTTGGGAAGGTATTGGATGCAGCTACAACAATCGTAATCATCAAATCAAGTCCTTGAATCTTAGCTCAAGCGGATTACAAGGACCAATAGCCTTGGCATTCAGAGATATCTCCCTTCTTGAGTCATTGTAAGTATACAAATACAAGTCATACATACACAATTTTACACCACTTTATTCCCATTAACTATAGAGAGGTGTGCATTGTTTGCCCCAGGGATTTATCGAACAACGACCTACATGAAAACGTGCCTGAGTTTTTGGCTGATCTAAAACATTTGAAGTTCCTGTAAGTGACTAAAAATATACTTCGTTGTCTATTTTTAGTAATGAATTTGCCTCTTGACACGTTTACTTATGTTGCAAGGAATTTGAAAGGAAATAACTTCACTGGGTTTATCCCAAAATCTCTTTTGAAGAAAATAAAAGCTGGTGTACTTGTACTCAGGTAATATTTTCTAGCATTTTACAGGAAAAAAAAAACATTAAACGATCAAAGCACTCTCACTGAATCTTGTTGATTCTCTCTTGTGTTGTTACAAGTGCGGATGACCAAAACCTTTGTAACTCAAGTTCATGTCAAGACAAGAACAAGAACAACATGGTCGTGGCAATAGTAGTAGCAACATCAGTGATCTTTCTCCTTGTCGTCCTGGTTATCATATGGATCGTGCTAAGGCAAAGAAAAAGAGGTAAGACGTTTGGAACGTTTTCTTCACGGTTGAATCGTAAGTCGAGTTTTTGATGAGAAAAATAAGTCTGTAGTTTCAGGAGCCAATTCAGGACCAAGACCACTCCTGCCTTCAGGGAAGAGAAGATTCACAAATAGTGAAGTATCTAGCATTACAAACAACTTCAATAAAGTGATCGGTAAAGGAGGGTTTGGTATTGTGTACCTCGGTTCCCTCGAAGATGGGACTCAAATTGCTGTAAAGATGATCAAAGATTCTTCATTTGGAAAATCTAACGTACCATCATCGTCATCGTCATCATCATCCAAACAATTCCAAGTCGAGGTAATCTACAATGCAAAACAAAAAAAAATAGAAACCAAACTCAGATATTATAGACAATGTTGTTTAATGGTTGCTGAAAGTGTGAAAATGTTTTGCAAGGCGGAGCTTCTTTTGACAGTCCATCATAGGAACTTAGCCTCGTTTGTTGGATACTGCGATGATGATCGCAGTATGGCTCTCATCTACGAGTACATGGCCAATGGCAACTTGCAGGATTACCTTTCAAGTGAGAACGCAGAGGATCTTAGCTGGGAAAAGAGACTCCATATAGCTATAGACTCTGCACAAGGTTGGTCCCAGTTCTGTTCTGCATCCAAGATTTTCTAAAGCTAAACCGAGATATCAATCCCGGTTTACTCTGCTCCCATTCTGTATTTGTTTTTTCCCCTTGGCAGGGCTGGAGTATCTGCACCATGGATGCAGGCCACCAATAGTACACAGAGACGTTAAAACAGCAAACATTCTATTAAACGATAACTTGGAAGCCAAGATTGCTGATTTCGGCGTCTCTAAGGTCTTCCCTGAAGACGATCTCAGCCAGGTCGAGACTGCAGTCATGGGCACTCCCGGCTACATTGATCCCGAGTAAGTTCCTTAACACATCAAAGGTTTAAATTTAGCCAATACAGATCACCTAAAAAAAGTCAGAATTTGAAGAAGGAGAAAAAAACGTGGATTTTTTTTATATATTTTTAGTTTTGGAGTAATAACTAATTGGTTTTCTACCAAGTTATTAGTTAATAGGTTGGATCAATTTGGGATCCATTTCAATACAAATAGTTACCAATTTAAATAGAAAAATTAATAGAATTTGGGACTCATAAGATAAACTAAAACAAATCACACGTACGTATGCATGGTGACAGATACTACAGGACGTTTATGCTGAACGAGAAAAGCGACGTGTACAGTTTCGGGGTCGTCCTTCTTGAACTCATCACCGGCCAGCGAGCCATCGTGAAAACCGAAGCAGGAGACAAAATTAGCGTCGTCCACTACGTGGAGCCTTTCTTCGAAACTGGAGAACTTGATGGCGTTGTGGACCCGCTGCTTCGCGGCGACTTCTCATCGGACTCAGCCTGGAAATTTGTGGATGTCGCAATGTCTTGCGTCAGAGACAGAGGATACAACAGACCAACAATGAACCATGTCGTGTCTGAGCTGCAACAATGCTTAGCAGCCGAGCTGTCTCGTGAGTCGTGAGCCCGCCCATCATTAGAAGGAATTGGCCGTGATAGAGATTAATGTGAAGTAGACGAAGTAAAAAAATTTTAAAGAGGTTTGAACATTTATGCTTCTTTTTTTTCGTCGTGTATTCACATATATATATATATATATATATATATATATATATGATTGATTCTAATTTCTAAAAGGGTTGTTACTCGATTTTTTTTTTTTTTTAAGTGTAGATGAATTATTTTTGTGTAAATGAGTAATGTTTCTGCTTGATTGGGCGTCACAAGTTGGGCTTTCCAAACACATAATACAGCATAATGTTGATTTTGATCGACCCCTTTGTCGGTGTGTTTATATTAAAACTTCATCTAAAGACAATTCAAAAACATGGATGCAACGTGTGACCAACTAACTACTATAGATCATTTTTATCGGGAAAAAGAAATCATGTCCATTGATATCATATACAGAATACGTTTTGCTTATTACATATTTCAATTATTTTGTAACACTGTAAATGCATTGCCACTTTTTTTAGGTCAACAAATACAGGAACACAGACACATTTCTAAAATTGAGTTATTTCATAGACCAAACTGGCTGACAAGAAAGAAAAAAGGGATCAAAATTGAATAATTTGTTCGAATGATCATTTATTAAAAATAAGACAATATTTGACACAATATTAAAAAAATTATGTATTTATTAATATTTGTACCCAAATCTAAATATAACACAAAAATATTTGTAAAGTAATATTAGTTTTTTGAAGATATTGGATATCAGAGGAATTTAATCTATAAAGATCTGATTATGATCTCTATATCTTTCATTGAAAAAGTTGTAATATATTTTTAGCATATAGAAATATAATGTTTTATAAAGTCATGATTTTTAGTGGACTGTGTCCTGATGTTGGAAAAAAATATAATAATTAGATATCCTTACAAAATAAAAAATACATTACGTGTCTTTAACTCGTTTTTTTATTAACGCGTCTATAATCTTCAACACTATTTAACCATATCCCAGAAAGTTAATTTCCTTTTTCTTCTTCTAATTAATTTCATCTTCTCCCTCTTGTCTAAATTTGATACTTTTCTTCTTCGGTGAAGGTCATTTTCCTAAGATCACAAATTTTCTTCTGATCTCCAACACAAAACCTTAAATCTCTTTTCTTTTCTTCAGATTCAATTGTGTACTCGGACACTCCAGGCTTCATTTCTGTTCGTTGGTCTTTTCAAGTTTCTCCATGAAGAAGGTGCTTCATCGAAGTTTTAAGCCTGCGAAATGGTAATCGTCATTTTCCTCTGCTCTTCTCTTGCGATTTTGTTCTTATTACTGGAAGACTAATACATTTACCAAATGATTGCATTTTTCGTTTGTAATGTTTCCTGATTTTTTTTTCTTCTTCTTTCCAATAAAGCAAAATTGCTTTACAAATGGCGACTTCGCGCCTGAAAATACTGAAGAACAAAAAGGATACACAGATTAAGCAATTGAGGAGAGAACTGGCTCAATTGCTCGAGTCTGGGCAGATTCAGAGTGCAACAATTCGGGTAAGTAACCATTTTGATTGATATTTTTTTTTGTCTGTAGAAATCTTGTATGAATTCATCATAATCTTTGGATATGGTAAAACCGATTGAAATCAGCATTTTTTGAAATAGTATTTATCAAACATATCAGTGAATCTGTGTTTCACTCAGGTGGAACATGTGGTGAGAGAAGAGAAGACAGTTGCTGCTTATGAGCTCGTTGGTATATATTGTGAACTTCTTGTTGCTCGTTTGGGTGTGATTGACTCACAGAAGTAAGTAAAATTCCAAAATTTCACACCTTTTTTTATTGTGTAATGTGTTATAATCATTGTTTGTGATCTGACTTCAGGACCTGCCCTAATGATCTCAAGGAAGCGGTTGCGAGTGTCTTGTACGCTTCCAAAAGGCTATCAGATGTCGCAGAGCTCGCTGATATCGTTAAGCATTTCTCTGCCAAGTATGGAAAAGATTTTGTCTCAGCTGCTATTGGGTTGCAACCAGATTCTGGTGTGAGTCGCTTGGTAAGTTGGCTTCATTTGTTTATCTTCCTTTCTCAGTTTCTAAAAGAGAGACATTCTTACTTATGATTATCTCTTTCTCTCTTTATGGTTAGTTGGTGGATAAATTGTCTGCTAAAACTCCTGATGGTCCAACGAAGATGAGAATTCTAATGGAGATTGCTACGGAGCATAATGTAACTTGGGAAGCAGAATCTTTGGCTGAATCAGATCCAAAGGAAACCGTATTGTTGGTCAGTAATACATCTTCTTTTTCATTACGTAGCTTCTCCTTGGTGTTAATTTCACCTGTCTCTTTCTCGAGTATCTGTTTCCTCATTAGCATTTTTGATTTCCATAAGCAGAGTGGAGTAAGTTCCTCGGTGAGTAGAATTAACTCGGCTTCTTCAAGAATCCCAAACAATCAACCTCCAGACTTTCAAGCTCCAGCTACTGTCAGTGCGTCGCAGAATTCATGTGCAAGTGATGGAAGATCACCTAGCCGTGATTTCAACACTGGGAAGACAGCTGATCACTATCATCAAGATCCGAGACCTTCTGGTTAGTTTTTCACTAATACATGTTTTCTATTTGGTCATTATTATTTGTCTGTGTTGAAGCGTTAGATAAAGACAAACTGTCTTTTGTTTTTATATACAGGAGATAGAACTGATGGCAGAGAACACAGACCTCCAAATCCAGGTTATGGGGATACATCTCCATGGGAAACGGAATTTGTTGATGCTACAACTGCTGCACGTGCGGCTGCTGAATCTGCTGAAAGAGCGAGTTTTGCTGCACGTGCAGCCGCTGAGCTTTCTAGTAAAGAAAGGATGAGGACGATGCACTACTCTACAGAGTCGCCGAACTCATCCTCTTATGATAATTTAAGAAACGAGCCCTCACATAGACACAATAGTAGCTCAAATGTGCAAAGCGGAGGTGTTGCTAAAGAAGAAAATTTAAGAAGCAGTCACATGCAAGAAGAGCATTCTAAGAACACTGTTGATGACCTACCAGACAATACTTCATGGAGGAGAGGTCATTCTCGGGATAACTCATTGGAGAAGAGGCCGAACGACTTCTATGCTAAAACAGATATAGAGAAGAAGCAGCAACCAAGTATGGATGATATAAGCCGTAGCTGTCAAGATGATGTTCAACTCAAGAAACAGTCAAGCCGGGGTTCATCGGGTTCACATACAAGCTATTTTTCCGATGATAATAACGTCGCTTCCTATATCCATGCACCGAGCATCTTGGAGGATAACCGGTTTCAGAGCACTGTTAAAGATACAGAGAGCCAGAATCACGATCATGATGTTGTTACTGCTCCGGCTTTTGATGACTATAGCTCGTATTTTGATAAACCTCAATTCGACAATGAAGATGCTTATGGCGATGAACCAGAACAAGGATTAGGATTTTCATTGCTTGGAAGCAGCAGCAAGACACCTGATCATTTGCCAACAGAGACAAATTCATGGGGCTTCAAAGGACACAAGTCTCTGGGACAACCCAGCTCATCCTCAACCTCACAGGTTCTTGAAAAAGAGAAACCAAGTTTTCCATTGTTTGATGATGGTCCTACAAGTCCTCCAGCTTCTCTGCATGAGTCTGAGCCGTCTGCAAAGTTTGACGATTATGACCGAGGTTCTGAAAGTGAAGAAGACAATCTGAGAAACAAAGGAATACATTCTGGACGTGTAGAAGAAAAGCCAAAGCTGACATCTGATAAGTCCTCAATGTCTGAAGTTCCTGATGATTTAGGACGTTACTTTTTCCCCTCAGACTCGGAAGACCAAGGAGATGATTCCAAGCCACAAGAAGAGTCCGACGCAGAAACTCCTACAGGTCTGAGATTTGGACCTCTAGCGGGTGGACTCAAGACTCCCCCGCCTCATGGAATGAGCCTGCCAAAAGACAAGATATTGTCCAAATCTGGAAAAGAGCATGTCCAAACTGAGGCTGATCCGTCAGGGTCTTCTTCTAGCAGTACCAGGAAAGATCTTTACCCTGAGAAATCAAGCAACCCAGACAAAAGACCAAGCTACATACCTCCAGATTCATCTTCTAGTGATGATGAAACAGAAATGGAACTCCCAAAGAGAGTTTATATCAGAAATCAAGATAGAATAACTGAGTCAAGAACCCGTCCCTCACATCTTCATTCGCGTGTCACCCATGATGACTCGAAGGAAGGCATCCCGATTCGGGCTTCTAGTAAAACTCAAGAGAGGAGGACCCGTAGGACCATCCCTGATTCTTCTGCCTCTTATTTCAACTCAGTGTCCAGTGACGATGAAGATGAGAAAGAAGTCCCTAGAGATGTTGTACGCACCCAAACCAAGCCTTCTATTTCCATCTCACGGAGAACAAAGGGCCAAGATAGAAGATCATCCCTGGTTAATGCGAAAACCGAAAAAGTCTCACATGATCAAGAATCTCCTCCGAAGCTAATTTCTGAGGCCAAACGACTGGCTAAGCAACAAGTGCCAGCTTCTTCAAGCTCTCTTCCAAAAACCGACAAAACTTCTCACGACCAAGAATCTCCTCCAAAGGCCAAGCCGCTGGCTAAGCAACAAGGTTCAGCTTCAACTTCAAGCTCACTTCCAAAAACCAAAGTCTCTCGCTATCAAGAATCACCTCCAAAGCAAAGACCAGAGGCTAAGTCACTGGCTAAACAAGAAGGGTCAGCTTCATCTTCAAGTTCTCTTCCCAAAATTGTGACATCACCAGACCCGGAAACTCCGGCGAAGGAGAAAGCTAGCCATGTTCATCCCAAGCTCCCAGATTATGATGATATATTTGCTAAACTCGGGGCTCTTCGTCGGTGAACTTCTTGCTCATCCTCCCGTCTGTTGCTATAGCTATACATTTATTTATATTCATTGTTTGTTTACTCTCATTATTTGGATTGATTATTTGCGTGCCCGGAGGATTATTTTTTGCGGCGATGTACTTCATTTGTTATGTACTTCATTTGTATGTGTCTATTTCGTATCATGTACAAACAGATGGTTTTATATTTTACGTTTCTTGTAGTGGTGACTTCAATATTGACAATGAAAATCGAGTATATGATTAACAAATTCAGAATTGTATCTTGATTACTGGATTTTCTTTACTGGTTTGGTGGACGAACAGGGATGTCATATTACATTGATAGTAAGGAGAACTGTTAGCCACACAGCTACACACAAGTGGTAAAAACCAAATGACCTTGAACATCATCAAACAAAAAATTGTTTGAAATGCTGTCTTTATAAGATCTTTGAATTCAATTGAACAAAGAAATTTGTTGTCTAATTGCCAATTTGTTCAAAGAAAGTGCAAGATACAAAACAAAGAACAACAGGAAAAACATGTTCTAAGGATCGATATTCCAAAATCTGTTAAATTCTTCGACACTAGAGCCTCTTGACATGTGCTAGATTAAGCTCTTCAATAAAAGAAACCAAGAACCTGACCACCCACATTCCGTTTAATTGCTTCTTCATGGTCCAAAATCCCATCCGGAGTTGTGATTACAACATAACCCCACTACATGGAGCAAATCAACAAGGTTAAACTGTTGAAGTAATGACATTTTTAGCTGCTTGTCTGGACAGAAAAAGAGAAAAGACTAGCTGAGGACAAACCTGACGTGTTGGAAGTGTGCGTTCTGTGTATTTCTCAAGCTCTTTTGCCCTAACGTCTTGCCTATAGGTAAGAGCTTTGCAGTCATTAACCCTTCCTTGCAGATCAACTGTTATTCTACCAACTCTATGTGGATCATAGACTTGAAAGTTCTTGATATAACCTACATCAACATAGCATTTTGACAACCAAACACTTATACAACTATAACCATATGAAATCGCTATCTTAAAAACGTGAGCCATAAACAATTCATCTATCAAAAAAACATCCCCAAAATAAGATAAGGTATAAACATAAGCGCATATTTGACAAAAAAAAAAACAAGAAAAACATAAGCGCATCAAAGCAATTATGATCACTATTAGCATCATTCAATTAGTTCACAGAGGCAAATGAAGGAAGCGCATGAAGAGTGGATTCATCATATAAACCACGAAGGCAAGAATATAAGTAAACTTGATCCAAAAAGACAGAGTATAAGAAATGCCCTTCCTCAATATATGTTATAGTCGACATGTATATATAAATTTAACAGTCGCACTTACTAAATTGCAGCTTCTAAAATAAAGCTAAATCTAAATCACAGAACTAGATACTTCACACTACAAATGTCACCGGTGAACGGACGAAATGGAAAACGTAATCTTGTGTCGATAAATTAACGAACTTCCGATTGAGAAAAAAATGGAAAATGGGTAAAAATTTCACCTTTTTCCTTCATGATTCTGAGGAACGAAGACATGACGGTGGAGATTGGCTTGAGCTCCACCGACGCTTTCCCTCGTCTCTCGGCATTCACGATCGTCCTCAACGCATCGTTTAAAATCCTCCTCCCCATTTCTCTCTCTCTCCGGTCGAAAATCCGACGCTACGCAAATCGGAGAATCTAAAACCCCAATTACAGTCCGAAAAACAACTCAATTAAGGGTTTTCTCCCTTCAGAATTCAACGTGTGGCACTCTCGTTATTCTCAAACATGTATAGGGGTAGTATAGACTTTAGACTTAAACACGCGCGGGCTCTATCCGCACGTACGTACTTGTCATCTTGAATTATAAATAGCTCTCTCGAGTCATCTCTCCTTCCTCATCTCTCAATTGCCAAATTTCACCATGGACGAGTTACCTCCAGAGCTTTTGGTGAAAATCCTGAATCGACTTAACGATTCCGAAGACCTAGCTCGATGTCGAGTCGCTTCCAAGAGATTGAACTCGCTTTGGAGGGAGGTTCGAGCCGTGAGTCTCATCTGCACATTGTCCCGGTACTCGAAATCGCGGTCGATCGCCGTCACACCGTTCAAGACGGTCTTCAAGAGCTTGATCGAAGATTCTCGTAACATTAGCTCCGTCTCAGTCGCGGTCGATAAGGCGCTTAGCGGGATAACGTTTGATGACTTGATTGAAGAAGACTCCGACGAATTGTACCTGACCGATGTCGAATTCGTGCGAGAGTGGTTGCCTAGGGTCCGTGATAACCTGGAGATCTTGTCAATTTCAGATTTCTGGATTCAGTCTTGCTGGAGAAAGTCGGATGTTTTGGCGCTCATTTCTTTAAACTGTAAGTTTTGATTAGAAAAAAAACTTCAAATCAGTCTTTGGCCCTGCATCATCGTTTCCTGCAATTCCGGATTCGTTTGCAGTAACTTAAGTTTGAGAAGTAGTTGAAGTAATCGTAATAGCTCAAATTCCTTGATTCATTTTGGGAATTGAGTAATCGCAGATGTGTTGAATGTTATCATTTGTGCTTGAGCTTTTCAGGAAAGTTTATGTGTTTCTGAAGTAGGTACAGGAAACAATTAGGGATCATTGTAACTAATATTAAGTATAGATTTCTATCTTTTCAGGTAGTAAGTTAGTCAAACTAGAGGTGAAGAATGCTTGGCTCTCAGTTGTTGGTCTGACCCTGATGCCTAATCTCAGACATTTGACACTTGAATTTATCAGACTCGATGATGAGAATCTAGACAAGGTCAATGATTGTTTCCCTTTTCTTAAAGTGCTGAATTTGATTGGCGTTGGAGGACTTAAGGAACCGAGGATCCGTTTTCTGCACCTAAAGAGTTGCCATTGGACAGTGTCGAATGCTCCACTTTCCTTGGCTATTGTGGCTCCGAACCTCCTTGAACTCAAGCTAAAATGCAACAAACCCAAATCTATTCTCCTCGAAACACCCAAGTTGGTGAAACTCCATCTTTCTGTAGAGGACGCTGAAGGTGTTAGTATCGCAGAGCTTCAAGATCTGAATACTTTAGAGGTTATATCTCCTGACATGTACAGGCTAATCAGGAACACCCGATTTGGCAACAAGATCATAAGGCTTGCGGTGGATTCAGTCAGGTCTATAGAACAATCTGAAAGGCTAAAACTTGGACTGGGGACACTCCTTGAAGCATTCCCTGGCATCATTTCTCTGAATTTGAGTCCTGTGACATGGTCAAACATCGAAACCCATTTCCAAAGCGAAGGTCTAGTACATATGAAGGGAACAGATAGCTTGAAGCAAATAACAGCGCGTGTTCAGACGCCAAGTCATGCCGATGTTCATCAAACAGTTTCTTTCATCAGGTCTATACTCGATAACTGCAGAGGTGTGACAGACATGAGACTGATGATTCATCAGGACACAGATTTTAGAGTAAGAACCTATTTGATCTCGGCGTGCACGATGAGTAACCCGAGAGTGAGATGGAAATGGGGAGTGTGGGCTGAAGGAGGTGAAGATATGTGGGCTTCTATTGGCGCCTAAGGCATAACGCTCAAGTCTGAAACTTGAATTCTTCTGTATATATATACTTGTGATGATGATGGATGATGATGGTAACCAAGAATTCGATTTGATGCGTTGGAATGTTTCCATATGTTGTGCTGAAACTTGTCAGGCTTTAAAAAGCATTCTTAGAGAGTTTGTATACTAATGTAGACAGTTAGTCACCATGTAATATCATAGCTTCACCGTATAAAACAGGTTTATGATTGATCAGCTAAAGAGAGTTTTTGTTTGTTTGTAATTTTCATTTTATCCAGTTTATTGTTGAGGTTAAATCTAAGGGACGCAAAATCTAAGGTTGGTTAGACAACAAATTAGCGAGGGAAAAAAGTTATTTGTAAAAATAAAAAATTAAAAAGGGGCGTTCCGAGAATCGAACTCGGGACCTCTCGCACCCAAAGCGAGAATCATACCACTAGACCAAACGCCCTATTGATATTATGTTTCATTTATATTTATATCACTTACTGATAATTGCTTCAGAACTAAACTAGGGTTTTGCGGAGACTGTATATATTAACTCATCGTCATAACCTAATTCCGGCACGAGTCTCTTTCTCTACTCTATCCCGCCGTTGTCTGACTTCGGATTATAAGGTGAGCTTGCATCGTCTTGGATCGTCTTCTGACATAGATGTCATCGTTCTCAGTTCTTCATTCGTCCCTCTAGCTCTTGTTGGATTGGTTCATAATTGTTTTGTTAAGTTGTATTTTATTTTTGGAAAATTGGTGTAGGAGGTCAAAATGACAACAGTTCCAGGACAGCTGGTCTGGGAGATCGTCAAGAGAAACAACTGTTTCTTGGTCAAACAGTTCGGTAGAGGTAACGCTAAGGTTCAGTTCAGCAAGGAGAGCAACAACCTCTGCAACCTCAACTCATACAAGCACTCTGGTAAACCACTGCTGTCGAGTTCACTACCTAAATCTAAAAACTTTTGCTGAATATTGTTATTCTGTGAGATAGAATGTTGCTTATGAACACAAGTCACTGCACATCGTATCTATCGAAATGTAGTTGAAAGAATTAATAGCTTCTTATGTTAGGTTGCAATCCATGTTTTTGCCCTCTTCTGCGTATTTCTGTTGGTTTCTCGGAATGTTATTGAAATTATCTTCTTTAGGTGGTCTAAACTCTTAAGTTTGGATCTTTTGGCTATAAATTTGGTTGGTTTCTTGCTATTGGGTGCATAGATTTGTCTTGGCATCTGACAATGTGATTAAAGTTTGGATATTTTTGCTGTGATTTCAGGTTTGGCAAACAAAAAGACCGTGACCATTCAGCCAGCTGACAAGGATCAAGGTGTGGTACTTGGAACCACCAAGACTAAGAAGCAAAACAAGCCGAAGCTCTCTGTTAACAAGTCTGTCCTTAAGAAGGAGTTCCCGAGGATGACTAAAGCTGTTGTCAACCAGGTATAACTCATCTTGTTAAGATTGTCGTTCGTTTGATGTTTGATGTTTGAAGAGATCTTCATTTTAGAGCGCTTATACATGTTCTTATGAATCGATATTTTAGGTTGCATTATAGTTTGGTTTTATGGGCTGTGATGAGAAAGCTAACACGTAAGAAGAGAACTCCTTTGTGGGGTACCTCTTCTATGAAATATAATTGTTACGCTTGGCTTCTGAGCTAAACTCTTAGCATTTAAATTTAAATCATACCGATTGCGACTGCCCTTTTTGTTGTCAAGTCTGAAACCTGTGATGAGAAAGCTAACATATAAGGAGAGCTTCTTTGTGAAGTTCTTCAATGAAATATACTTGTTACGCTTGGCTTCTGAGAAAATATAGCATGAATCCTATTGAGAATATATATTTACTTTCTTTTGCAATACTTATCAGTGATGAGAAAGCTAACACGTAAGAAGGAAGACTCCTTTGTGGGGTCTTTCTTCAATGAAATACTCTTGTTACGCTTGGCTTCTGAGATATATTCTTTCGTTCAGCATTTCATATCTGATTCTTTCGTGCCTTTGTCTATCAATATTAATCCACTTACTGTCTGATCTTATCAGGTTGTGGACAACTACTACAGACCTGATTTGAAGAAGGCAGCACTTGCAAGGCTCAGCGTGATCAGCAAAGGCCTTAGAGTCGCCAAGTCTGGTCCCAAGAGGAGAAACAGACAGGCTTGAAGAGTCCACCACTGAATGAATATTTTTACTTCTAAAAAAGCGTGTTTTAAGCCATTTGGAGTTTCAGACAATGCTTGTAGGTTAAAGATTTTTCCTGAACAGCTGAATGTTTTGCTCGAGTCACCTCATTTGTCATCCCTTATTCACAAAATGATATTAAAAAGTATTTTTAATAATGATTATGCTTTTCCTAGTACTAAATTACCATTGGCTGCTCTCAATACATGCAAGTACCTCTTGTTTCCATCTGATCGTAAAATTGTGATTCCAATTTGTCGATAGTGATAACAAATCATACATCAAGCCATAAAGAACATGTAATCTAAAGGTTTATTTCTGTATAAATCGAAGTAGAAAGTTTTGTCTTGTGGCTTTTGATACAAACTCAAGAACATGTTAAATCTTGTGCACTCTAAAACCAGATTCCTCGGACGTCATATTCTCCTTCCAGCTCTCAAACTCAGATCCACCAAACACGACTTTCTTTATCCCGACATAACTGGACACAAACAAAACATCCGACGTTAGAACTTCTACACATTTGAACAATGTCCAACGTTCGAGAGAGAGAGAACTCGACTCACTCTGAACTGATTTGTGTCAGTGCGTTTATCAGTACATCGAGAATCAACGGCTCTGAGGTCCCAATATCGAGCCTGTCAAAACCATCATTCACGTTAGAGAAGCAAATCTGCAAAAGCCACTAAATGTTGCCAACTTGAGAAAATTTTGTTTTAGGGTAATAGGAATTATCACCATATGCGAGCCACATTGTCTTGGACCTCAAGATCCCCGATGTTATAAAATGTTGTAGGCTCGATATTAGCTCCAAGGATAGCATCATAGTTTGGCCTCTTATCCACTGGCGCTTGTGATAACTGCACCATATTGAGTAAAGAGATAGCAGTTTAATGCTTGTATCGTGCTTTAACCCAAAAAAATGAAAAACTGACTATATAAATGCTTCTTTACTTTCTCACGCTGACTTACTTGCATATTCATGGAATTGTATCCACCAAGACGTCCAAGAATATGCCATGAACGGATTGTCTGCAAGATTTAGCCATAAAAACAAAGCAGCAAGTGATTTGTTTGGTTTTTTCCTATCTTCACAGGATAGTATAGGAATGCTAAGGTTGAGTTTAAGGGGCTCACATCAGAAATCAAGGCTATGTCTTTGTCCAACGGTGCGTTGTAAAACTCCAACCACATGTACGAATTTGAATACTCAAATCTAACAAAGCAACAAAACCGAGAAAAGTTAAAAGACAACAATAGAACATAAGAAACAATGAAAATCAAAATCACTCTATAGATGATTATCAACAACTACTGATCTATCAGAGAAATGTGCAAAAACCAACCAAAGAATCACATATAATCTGAGTTACTCACTTGTTGAATGTAACCTGCATCGAAGTGGCTGAACCAGTCTTAGTGTGCAGAATTCTGTTTCTCTTCTTCCTCAATCTCTCTTCCATCTACCAAAAAAATGAAAACAGTAAAACAATCAAAATCGACCCAATAATCGAAGGCTCAGCTCAAACTCTAGCAAAGTTCATCAATTCATCAGCTAAACAAGCTTCTCGTATGAAATTGTAAGACCCAAAGATGAGAGATATAAACTTTTACCTTCTTCTGAGCTTTCTCTGGGTTATCTAAACAATCTCCCAAAATATCAGCGAACTCAGGGTCCTTGTCGTAATTTATATCCTCCTTTTTCCCTCCGTAATCGCCTCTCTTCCTCGACGTGAACTCATCTTCCTCCTCTTCATCTTCTTCTTCAAATTCTTCCATTTCTCGACCCACACCATTTACTCGCAGTTTCCCACTCTTACTAGACCACTTCCCAGGTACCTCTTGGATCTTCGGTACCCGATTCGTCACCCGAAACGGCGCCAAATTGTAGAAGGGTAGACTCGAGTGGTTGTTTTTCGCCGTAGAAGGCTGAAGAAGGTGAAGAAAACATTGAAACTTGAGCATTTCTTCTTGTCTTCTTCCTTTTTCACTGAGTCTCTGAGCCTGCAACTAGTTTAGAGCTAAATAGCGGGTTTTGGTTGGGTTTTTGGAAGAGATGATGTGAGTGTAAGGGTTTATCGTAGCTTACAGTGAACGCGAGCGTACACGAATATCAAGTTGACGTGGCTAAATCGGGTCACCTTTTCTGGATATTTACTCGAAGCCCATTGGGCCTGGTATCAATCAATTTAGGGCTTTCTAGGTAGGTTTATTTTCCTTCTTCTCCTCATCTCTCTCTCTGTTTTTCACAGTCTCATCTCCGTTCCTACACGCCGCGAAAGGTAGTTGTTTATGTTTCCTCCATCGTCTGATATTGATCGTCGATTCGAAATGTTAAGCGAAATTGATGTGGATGTTTCTTATGGATATGAAATGTGTGGGGGTTGATTTATCTGCGACTTTTACGAATTTGCAGGCTTTAGCTGATAGTGAGAGGGAGAGAGGGAAATGGAGAAAGCTAAGGGGAGAAAGGAGGAGGTTGTCACCAGGGAGTACACTATCAATCTCCACAGGCGTCTCCATAGCTGGTAAAAGAAACTTCAATATCATTATTTTTTAGATGCTAAAGTTATGTTTTTGCTCTGTGTCGTCTGTGTTTGTCAGTGAAATCATGAGTTTACATTCATCATTTTTGATTAAATTGCTTCTTAGAAACTGTGGTTTAGGGATTTCTAGAATATATACAGATGGTGATAGCTTTGAAAATTAATTTCTTGAATTAGAGTTGTCCAGATCATATAAGAGATACATGAAGAATCAACGCAATCACTGTTTGCTTACAAAGTTCTGCGTTTGTTGTAAGATATACATTTGATTGTTTACGTAGAACTTTATGCCTGCATATTCTGAATTGAACGGATTTTGTAATAACTATGAATACATATATCCTTGTTACCACTGTTCATCATTCATCTCTGTTACTAAAATGAATGAGTTGTAGGGTTTCTTCCACTCTAAGTTATGGTTTGTTTGCTTCTTCTGTTGATTTTCTATTCAGTAGAAACATCTTGAATCGTCTGATTAGTCTTGCGGTTTGGCAAATATGTGGTGTCTTTGATAAATGGACAGCACTTTCAAGAAGAAGGCACCAAATGCCATAAAGGAGATCAGGAAGTTCTCAGAGAAAGCAATGGGAACAAAAGACGTAAGAGTTGATGTGAAGCTCAACAAGCAGATATGGAGCAGAGGAATCCGAGGTCCGCCGAGGAGAATCAGAGTGCGCGTTGCCCGGAAGAGGAACGATGGTGAAGATGCAAAGGAAGAGTTTTACTCACTCGTCACTGTGGCTGAGATTCCAGCAGAAGGTTTGTCTGGTTTGGGAACCAGAGTCATCGAGGAAGACGAGTGATTTGCTTATCCCACTATTGCACCTTTTGTTTCATCCAAAAGACAGACAAAGATTTTATTTCATTAATGGTGAAGTTTTATATATAGTCGTTTCGTGATCTATTTATTTTGATCATAGCTTGGCGATTTTTGTTTTGTTTAGGAAAAAATGCCTTTAAAGTATACAAATGCAATCTATAAATACAAGTCCCTGAATTACCAAATGTACATGATAAAAGTGAATAACTTCGTGATAAGATTATCTATTTGATAGATCATATAACTATTCAATCTTGTTTCTGTTTGGTTTTAGTTTTAGATTTGCTAAATTTGTTAAATACAAAACCCAATGTTGAACTGCAAAACTTGAGAAACTACACAAATTTGGACTGCTCTATTAGAAAGATTGATTCGAATTATATGTGAAAAAACTGGAAATATGGAAAAAAAAAAAAAAAAATGGCGGGGATTCTAACTGAATAGCAGGCCCATTAAGAGATCACCAATGGACCTTATCCATGCAAACTTGTATCGTCCTCATCACTTAAAAACCCATTCACATTCACAAGAGAAAACCCTAGCTACTCAAGAAGACCTTACAACGTCGTCGCACATTAGCCGGAGGGAGCGCCGATCCCGTCGTCAGAAGAATCCTTCTAGTAAACAGCTATGGGTAATTCTCTTTAGAAGTTGTCTTTCTGATTTTCGCCTGCTATATAAATGTTGATGGTTCTGATGCATTTTGTATCTGATTTGTTGGAAATGGTTTAGGGAAGGTTCACGGTTCATTGGCTCGTGCCGGTAAGGTGAGAGGACAGACACCTAAAGTGGCTAAGCAGGACAAGAAGAAGAAGCCACGTGGCCGTGCCCACAAACGGATGCAACACAACCGTCGTTTCGTCACCGCCGGTAAAATGATCTGTTTCTTCTCTTTTCCCTTTTTTTAAAAATCCAAAATTTCTTGGGATATAAGCTAGTTGGCCTAGTGTATTGGTACTTATCACTTAAATAGATAGTCTATTAGCCACTGTCAGTAAATGATGCTCGTGAGATTCTCTTTTGATCATGAAAGACTTCTGAATTTGATTCCTCCATTTTTGCATTTGAATGTCATCATCACCTTTTCTTGTCATTTCCTTGTGGAAATGTTTGAACTTGTATATCACTAGCAGACTGGTTCTATAGTAATTTTTTTCTTATTTCTTCTTTTCAGTTGTTGGATTTGGCAAGAAGAGAGGACCCAACTCATCTGAGAAGTAGATGATGATCATGATCACTCTGTGGGGTTGTTGAAGTTTTTTTGCCCTTTTATGGCATTCTCGTTTTTGGTTTTTTGCTGATTCCGACTTCTGCAAGATCCGTTTTGTTATATCTTTATAGACAATGTAATTTTCTCAATCAAATTGGCCATCGATGCTTCAGACGTAATTTTGCGACCTCATAGCATTCTATATCCACTGATGTGCCCATGCCAAATACATATTCTGTGTTAGAAATGTAATGTAAACTTGCAAACTAATATCTAACAAGGATGAAGTTACAGGTGATTCCGTAATTTCACCTGATAGTAGAGAGGATTAAAAAAAATGATGAAACTGTCTATATTTTGTGTTAGAAGTATTTTAGAAAGAACATGAAAAGATTCACTACATTGCAAAAATCTGTACAAAAGATAACTTACAGAATGTAAAGATACAAGGCTAAAAAAATTTCTTTTAGCATTTGATGTTACAATGAAAAGGTAGAAACAAGAAACACTATAACACTGTACACAAAAGACCGTCACTGTTTTTTTACTTCCAGACCTTGATGGCTCCATCTCTGCTGCTTGATATCAAAAGTCTCTGGTTCAGTTTCACCGATGCCAGAGACTGAACTGAGTCTCGGTGACAACCCGCAGTGTCTGTCGCAGCTGCTGCAAGTACCGCCTTTGCTGTTAGGTTTGCCAGAGGCCGTCTCTTTGTCTCCTAACAAAGAGACATACACAATTTAAAGATTAAGTTTGTTAAAAGCTTATCTACACTTGGTGACCTGAAACTACAAGACTATTGTGATATGCTTATCTACAGTTAGTGACCTGAAACTGCAAGATTATTGTGGTATACGAAGAAAAAATATAGTTAGTGAACATACCTGAACGAATTTCACGCCGGAGTTGGATTTGAGTTCGTAGAAATCATCGTTTCCGACTCCTTTCAAACTCGGACCGCATATACAGTAACTTCTCTCAGGGCTGTTTTGATCCAAACGCAGAAAACAAGAGTTGCGTCAGTTTTTGTATATTATTGTGCACAAGAGGTGTGACAAAACGTTTGATTGTAAAAACACAAGTTGAAGTTTTAAATGTAGGACCTGGAGTAATCCCAACGCCGGATCTTCAAGTCAGTACCACCTGTTAGCAAGTCGCCACCGGGTAAAGGAAGCAAAGAGCGTATCCCAGGAAGACGAGGAGGAGGCTCGTTCAACTCTTTGATTCTGTACTTGGAGCTCGTATTCTGGCGAAGATTCGGCTTGGAATTTACATTATTGCTTGGTAACTTCCATTGAAACTCGGAAACATTCGTCTCATTTTCATAGTTGGCTACTCTCAACACCTACAGAATCAGCACATTTACAAGACCAATTCAGTGATATGGTTTAACCTATCAAAACTAACTCCAGTCACTATTAAACTATCAACATATGTTTTGTTCTCTCCTGGTTCATAGTTTCTATTCAAACTTGCAAGACCCCAATAGAAAAAGCATAGACCATAAGTAGAGTAGGTTCAATAGCCAAAGTCAAGGTGCAATAAAATGGTAAAACAACATTACCTGCTGACAGCTACCTGTCTCTGCATTCCAGAGTGAAACTTCGTTGCAACCGGCAGCAACATAAATATAAGGTCTCATAGTGGTGGACACTGATACACTTGGAGGAAGAAAGCAGAGGCACATCTTCTCTATTGGGCATATAATAGGGTATTGCCATGAATTTACGGGAACACGAAATCTCGAATCCCAAAGAGTAAGCACTCCCCTTGAAGACCCAGAGATAAACCAATTCCCGCAAGGGCTTGTAACCAGAGAAGACACATATCCTTCTTCAGGGTTTGCTTTCAGTGTCCATGCATCTAAATCTGATCTTGTGTCCCAAAGGTGGATTCCGCAGTTTTGGGTACTGTACATTACCATCGGACCAGAAAGGCTATCAGCAGTATAATTCAAGAGAGAAACTAGAGCGCCTTCTTTAACATCCTTCTTTTTAATATCAACAATGCCTGAGTACTTCTCCACTACGTTCCCCAAGCCTCTGGAGATGTGGTCAATGGAAAATATATGTATCACACCATCAGAGGCTCCAACTACAACTTGTGTTGAATTCCGAAGCATTGTTGTGCACATCCCTCTGCTTCCCTCGAGATGATATGTTAGCCTTGACCTAAACGAGATGTCCTTTTCCAGTTTTCTAGAGTCCCACACCTTCACTGTGGAATCATCTGATGCACTAACAAAAAAACTATGATCGCTTGAAGTGGCAATGTCGTTGACAGCAGAGCGATGCTCCTGTAGATGAGCAACTAATACTCCACGAGGCTTCCAACCTGAATCCGGAACCGATGTCCTTGACAGAGATGGTTCTCCTACAAGATCTGATGTTGAAGAGGCATCTTCTGAAGTTACAGAAGCACTTTTTGAAGAGCTTGATACACCAAGGTCTTGAAATTTACTGATGGCTGAGGACATTTGATCATTTTCTCTGTTTTCTGGCTCATGTACCACTCTGTAAAATTGTTTAGGATTGATACCAGCATGGAATGACCCAGAAACCAGCTTAGGCACTGGGACCGAACTAGCCAAGTTAAATGACTTGCTCATCGAATCCATCCATGGCACTGATAACGAACCCATTCCGAGAGAGTTTATCTGCAATGAAGACTCAGAAGCCACAGGAGGATTTGTAGCTGCTCGTTTGTCCATGCTAAATGAATAGAGAGGTATGCCCTCTGGTTCGGTTAAGCTATTTATACCAGATATATATGGTGCCATAAACCCAGAGAACTGTAACTTCTCTGGATACAAGGTATCACGTAGGCCAACTGTGTTAGAAGCACTGAGTCTTGGGTTTTTCGGGATTCTCAGTTTAGCATCTTTTTCTGCAAGCTTTCCTTGAACTTCTTGTTGCGATGCATTCTTAATCTGATTTGGTCTTTCCACACTTTTCTTTTTTTCGTCCCCGCCTTCTACTGAGTTCAAGTTGCCAGTATCCTTGTTAAAAAAATCAACAGTTTCCCAATCTTTGGACTGAGGTGAAGAACTGTACCACATCTTTCGCTGTCTCGCCGCGATTTCTGGTTTCCTGGCACTTTCAAAGATACGGTAAACTACCTCCCTCGCGACAGGGGGCTTTAGACATGAAAGTAGACCTTCCTCAGAAGCAATTGACGCAGGCAGTCTACTGAGAAAGGGGCGTATTACTGGGGCAATAAAAGCATAAGAGTCGACTGCACCTAAGCATTCACTACACGCAGCAATGAAAGTGACAACTGCCCTCCTTACCCATTGAGATGGATAGCACAGCAAAGGATAAACACACTCTAACATTTGGAGGAGAGCTCTCTTCCGCAAGAAACTACTCTTGCATAATGTGGATAAGCAATCCAATGCATTGACAATTACAGCCTCTGTCTGATCACTTAAAGCTTGATCAATATAAGGCAAGAGATACTCCTCCACACTTCTCTGACCGACAAAAAAGCATACATAAACAATTTTCTCAAAGAATACAGTTCTTAGCTGTTCATCTCTGTCATTTAGAAAGGCAGGGAGGATCGGTAGTAGAAAGTCATTACTCTGCCTTTGACCAAAGAAAAAGCAGAGCTCCCCTATGTCCTGAAGGAGTGCTCTTCTAACATTCGGAGTTTGTTTTGGACCCATAACAAGCTCTTGAACAACTTCAGCTATAGTTTTTCTAAGCTGTGCAAGCTGTGCATCGCCATTTGCCTTTTGCAACTGACTGGGGGTCTCGCTAGCAGATGTAGTGGAGATCTGCTGCGAATTTAATTCATTAAGAACCCCTACATCGCTCAGCTGGAACGACTGTATCAAGAATCCATAAGCAGTAAGAGCAAGTTTTGCAATATTGCTGGCATAACATATCCTCACACTCTCTTCTGGATCATCAGGAAGCATGGAGAGCATCGGAAATATATACTCTGGGAAAATCTTGGCATCACTGGGAGGAAAATCTCGGACAAGCGGCAGAATGTCACACAAAGTTTCCATGGCAGCGCACCGCACAATTGCTGTTGTATCAGAAAGCAGGGAAACCACGTATGGAAGTACACGTTGCAAGCGATCTTCATCATCAATATACAAAGAGCAAGACCTCAATAGAAGTATAGCTTCCCTCCTCAAATGAGGCAACTTGATATTGCGGATACAAGAACAGAGCATAGATGCGATTAGAACCATTCCCTCACATCTCATGTTAACCTCTACCGGTAGAAAAGGCGTGCCATAAGTGTCAGAACGGCTATCATAGAGAGACAATAGTGTACCCAAATCGTCCATTGTTATCTTTTTCAAGAAAGGATGGCGATTTTTCTTGACTGCATCGGAAATTGAGTAAAGGATCTCCTCCTTGGAGTTTACAGTATCCCTTATCAAGTCCTTTGATGTGTTCAATTTGTGATTTGCGAAAGTTTCATGTACCTTGGTTGCGTTCACTTGATTTGAAGATACAGGAGGATCAATGCCGATATCATCACCTGGTTTATTTTCCATCATCTTTTTAAGTATCTCTTGAAATATACCCTGGCACGTTGCTACCTAAACACAATGAAGCAAAAAGATATGAAGCATGTTTATGCAGAATGTAGAAAGACTTTACAGAAACTTATGATGATTACCCTCATATCTGAAGGAAGTGGATTCCAACAACAGTATAAAGTGTGCAGAAATGGTGAGAAGTAGTTTGGGAAAACAACTCCGACATAATTTTGCAGGTAATTTTCAGCAGATAGGCGAGCTTCAGGTTCTAACTGAATCATATGAAGAATCATCTTGCGAATACCCGGGTCAGGAATCTGAATCCAATAAAAAGAGAAAGACCATTATAGATGAGTAGAATCAGCGTGAAAAGGTCGTAAGAAAGAAAAAAATATGGAGACGCCAAGATATTCTCATAAAGAGAAAATGAAAAAAGGAAGATGCAAAAGGAGATACCTTTTCAAGGTGTTGGCTAGGATCATGTTGACCTCTACGATAAGCGAGCAGTTGAGCCAGTTCAAATAGTGGCTGACCCTCAAGAAAAAGCTCTGCTATCACACACCTGAAGCATTAATATGAAACTATTACAATATGTTATCAACTCAAATTTAAATGAGCTACTGTTTAAGGTAAGAAAATGTTGTTCCATCTTGAAAAAGTATGTGTGCTTGAAACCAATAGGATCCTCT